CAGGGGCTGGAACCCAGGGCCATGCATGCTGGTCAAGTGTTCTACCTCTGAGCTATGTCCTCAGTCCCATATATCTTTTTTTTTTTTTTTAAATCAAGCAATAGCAAAGTGGAGAAATGAGTACATGTGGGAAAAGACTAATACACAGATTAGTTTCTTGGTTATTTTAAAACTGGTCTTTTACTCTCTGATACTATGACAGGAGGCAAGCAAGGGTAAGTTCTGTTTCTTTCTCTGCTTTTTGGTATCTTTCAGATAAATCATGTCTAGTCTTTATTGATTTTTCTTTCTTCTTGCTACCTTTGCAGTTGTAATTTGAGTGTTCCTGATGTTCTGGCAGAGAGAGAGAGAGAGAGAGAGAGAGAGAGAGAGAGAGAGAGAGAGAGAGATCGATCCCTGGGGAGATATATCTCCCCAGGGAACAACCCTCTTTCTGCCATAACACAAGACTGAGTCTGCCCCCTCTACCAGGCTGGAATTGCTGGTGAGGGACAGCCCATAAATGGCTTATGTTAATGAGGACTCTTCCCAGAGTCTGAGCTCCAGGAGGGATCATTAGGAGCCACTGGGTTAGCAGAAAGACCTCCAGGGAGTTAGGACTTCTCTGAATGTAATGGTTAGTGGGAACAAAAGCTTGTCCTTCCAGGGAGGCCCCAGGGCTGTGGCCTTGGAAAATGCCTGTAATAAGTAATAAGGATCACCCTCTAATGAGACAGGGAGAGCTGAAAAAAAAATTAAAAATTGTTTAAATATGGGATTTATTTCTGGCTGCTAGCCATGGGCTACAAAGTCTACAAGGAGGCTTCAGATTTCAAAGAGATGTGAAAATGGATGAGCCTGGGGAGGGGTCAGCCAGAGAGATGAGAAGGTCATGTAGCTGACAGCTTGCCCGTGGGAATGTCCTATTGACCTCTTGTGTTCAAGCCCAGGCAGATGCCAGAGGTAAAACAAACAGGCAAACAGCCACCAGGAGATGCTGTCCTTGTCTGCAAGAGAACCTCTCAGGAATGCAGGCGGGCTCTGATCCTACCTAGAGACAGGGCCAAGAGCACAGAGACCAGAGTGCACCAACCCAAGGGAAGCTGGAGGGATGGGACCTACTTTGATAGGGGGACTGGGGTGGGAATATCCCTCAGAAAAGAGGTGCAGAAAGAGGTTTTTCAAATGACCACAGGTGTGAATTTTTTCCTAATTTATCATTTACGACAACCTAGTTATGCACTGACAATGGTTTCAGGTCTCATTTGAATGAGTGGCAGAATCAGGTAGGCAGAGTCGGTTTTTAAGAAGTGGCTTTCTGTCCTTGAATCTGATATCTGGTAAAAGCTATGGCAGCTTGGGAGGGCTGGGTTAGGGAAATGGTAAACGAAAGCAAAATGTCTCTCTCTGACTTTCAAATATTCTGAATTACACTCCAGAGTCACAGACACTATTATGGCCCTTTTCCCTCATATTTTTCCAAAGTTTGATTCATCTTTCTGTCAGAAATCTTGCTTATGCAGCTCCTTCAGATTTTTGCTGCTAACTGCAGAGCTCTTGTTTTTCTTGTCAGCAGTCACCTTAATTGTCCTGCCCAAAGAGCCCCACCCAGCCCCGTTTGGTGCCACATGGTTTTCTTTGAAAGGCTCTGCTGTAACAGCGAGAATTTCTGGGTGTCCTTTTCTAAGTAAACAGGAAGTATCGCTATGTTAAAAAAAAAAAAAAGAGAAAACCTTCTCCTCAGCAAAAATTCAATAATATGCCAACTTATATTTCCTATTAATGTTGCATTAGGAGCAGGATCAATTTCTTACACAGCCCAATCTTTTTCTTAAGATTCTAAACCTCAATGAGTGAGCAGAATCCCAGGGAAGGCTGGCCAACTAGGATATTTTAGAAATTCACCCACTGATTTTTTTTTTTTTTTTTTTTTTTTAGGCAGTAGCATCACAGGAAAGATAACAATGTATGAAAAAAAAAAAAAAAACCACACACACAACAACAACAAAACCCTGTGCAAAATCACATTAAAGGGGCAAGATGTTATGCATCTAAATTTTAAGTCACAGCAAGAGTTGTGTTCCAATACTTAACCACCCTTCTATATATGAAAAATCTGAAGCCTTGAGTCAGGAGAATTGACGCATCACAGGAGAAAGAAACACACAAAGATGGCTTTTTTTCCCCCCATCACATCAGAACCTGGGTTCGTGTGTCAGGCAGACGCAGCCCCACGAGTCCTCCACACACGAGCACAGTAGAAGCCAGAAGGATGGGGATTGCTTTGGTGATGCCAACCAGGGAGCCGAAAATTAAGTTTCCCAGGACGGTTGCTGCTTTGCATAGAGCATTCAAGAAGCCGAAGCCCGTTGCCCTTCAAAGGAAAAGAATTATGGACAAGGTTGAGAAAATGATTCTAGCTTTAGACACACATGTTCTATAATGGTAATTTTCAATGCTTTTTAAGTAGATTGTGTTGAGTATCATTGGAGCAAATAATTAAATGCTTGTTAGCAAATCAGGATAGAGAAACCCAGCTGTTGGTATTGTTCTTTCAGGCCTCCTGTTGACTTTCTTACCTTCTCTATTGATTCTTTTTCTGACCATAGGTTCCAATTTATCATGGACAACAAGAGAAGGGTAATTTTAGGAGTCTCTTTTCTCTTGGCCCAATGGTGTTGGAAGAAAGAGTCTCTTATATCAAAGTTAATCTTACCCCATTCAAATCCTTCTCTCAGGAAAAACAGAGTCATGAAGCACACAGTTCATCAGAGAGGCAGCTCACCTCTGGTGAGTGTGGAGTTTGGGCCACCCCCCTCTGACCCCAGGCAAGAAGTGGAAAGCGAGGGTTAGGGAAATTGACCAGGTTCTCATCACAAAAATGACACATTATTTTGTTTTGTAAATTCCCATAATTTCAGAGATATCTGTATTTAAAAGGAAACTTAATTTCATTCCAGAATTGAAGTGTATGACAATATATTTCTTTTTACTCCCTTCTTTTCTCTTAGCTAAATCAATTTAAATAATTGAGGCCCATTGAATTTTCAAAGAAAATCAGGGATGATGGAGTTGGATCCCTTATCTTTAACTTACTGTGGAGCTGAACTACCATGCATTCTTTCTTTGTTTTCATTAGCAGGAACCTGGAACACAGGTTGAATATCACCTATCTGAAATACTGGGGATCAAAAGTGGTTCAGATTCGGGAGGTTTTGGGATTTTGGAATGTTCACATAGACTTCACTAGTTGAGCATCCCTAATCTGAAAATCTGAAATTCAAAGTTCTCCTAAATCTGAAATTTTTGAGCACTATGTATTTTCAGATTAGAAATGTTCCACCAGTACTGAGCTGGGTGGCCCTACCAACGAGCTAGTGTGATATTTCTCCTATCATCAGAGTTCTCTGTGGAAAATCAATCCAAGAAAATATTATAGAAGAGAATCAGATTGTGGGCCTAGAGATCTTGTTTGCTGTCCTTTAAGCTGTGCAGGCATGTAAGAAACAATCCTCTGTTCTTTTTGAATCCCCAAGAGTTCACACATGCTGAGCATATGCTCTATCATTGAGCTATATTCCCAATTCCGATGTCCTCTCTCTCTCTCTCTCTCTCTCTCTCTCTCTCTCTCTCTCTCTCTCTCTCTTTCTCTCTCTCTCTCTCAACTTTTTTTTTTTTGTGGGGGGTACTGGAGATTGAACTCAGGGGCACTTGACCACTGAGCTTATTTTGTATTTTATTTAGAGACGGGGTTTCATTGGGTTGCTTAGCGCCTTGCTTTTGCTGAGGCTGGCTTTGAACTCACCATTCTGTCTCAGCCTCCCGAGCCACTGGGATTACAGGCATGTGCCACTGCGCCTGGCTCTTTCTTTCTCTTTCCCTCTTTTCTTTTCTTTCTTTCCAGTACTGGGATTCAACTCAGGGGACACTCTGCCATTAAACTACATTCCCCGGCCTTTTTTATTTTTTATTTTGAGATAGGGTCTCACTAAATTGCCCAGACTGGCTTTGAATTTGTGGTCCTCCTGCTTCAGCCTCCCAAATTGCTGGGATTACAGATGTGCACCACCAAGCCCGGTTCGCATCCCACCTTTTTTTTTTTTTTTGTACCAGGAATTGAACCCAGAGGCACTTAACCACTGAGGCAATATCTAGCCCTTTTTACTTTTTTGTTTTGAAGCAGGGTCTCTCTAAATTGCTTAGGGCTTGGCTAAATTGCTGAGGCTGGCTTTGAACTTGTGATCCTCCTGATTTAGCCTCCTGAGTTTCTGGGATTACAGGTATGCACCACGACATCCCACTTCTTAGTACATTTTTTGGAAAGGATATTTGCTATTAGTCTACATAAATTGAAGGATTTTGCTTTGGTCTTCTAGGCAGAAGATTAAATATTTTTTTTTTCACAACTGTAGATCTACCACAGACATCATAGAGAATATAAATTTCCTTCTGACTTCGTATTTTGGCTCTCACTGAGTCACATTAAATGCAGGGCAATTTTTTTTTTTAACCACAAAGGGAAATTCATTTTACATGCTGCAAAATGAAGTATTTAATACACACCTTTCTTTGATTGATTTGCAAGTTTGTAGCTGTGGGGGTTTCCTTTTGCAAGTCCTAACAACTACTCATCACTACTTGCATGGTTCTTAGTGGCATTTTCTACAATGTATGCAGCAGGCTCATAACCTCAGAAATGTATGTGGTTATTATCCAGCCACCCACTTTTCACACCATTAGAAAGAAATCAAGGCTCCTCCCTTTGCTGTATGAACGCAGTCTCTGTGTTAATGCAGTACCAATGATTTTGCTAGTTAAAAACACATCTAATAAAGGGCAGCTAGCACAGATTTTCTTTTTGGCTAAAAAAGTAAAGTAAGCAGGCTCTTGAAGGGTGGCAAAGTTGCCAACTCCTTGGAATGAGGAAGAAGTGAAACAAAATCTCTGATGGAAAGAAGCAGGGATTTCTTTTTTTTTCTTTTTTCTTTTTTTGGGGGGGTGGGTGGGTACTAGGGATTGAATTTAGGGTTGCTTAATCACCGAGCCACATTCCCAGTCCTTTTTATATTTTATCTTATTTATTTATTTATTTATTTATTTATTTATTGTTGCCAATGATTAAACCAAGGGGCACTTAACCATTGAGCAATATTCCTAGCCCTTTTTTTATATTTTTATAGACAGGGTCTCCCTAAGGTGGTTGCTGAGGCTGGCTTTGAACTCACAGTCCTCCTGCCTCAGCCTCCTGAGTCACTGGGATTACACCACATCTGGCTTTTATATTTTATTTTGAGACAGGGTCTCATGAAGAAGCTTAGGGCCTCGCTAAGTTGCTGAGGCTGGCTTTTGAACTCCTGATTCTCCTGCCTCAGCCTTCCCAGTGGAGAAACAGGGATTTCTTGAGAAGAAGGTAAGTAATTTTGTATTCTCTTTGTATCTAATTTTGTGTTCTTGAAAAAAAGACCTGTAATACCAGTAATTACTAAAACAGCAGGCGGGGAGGGTGGATTTAATATACTAATGACTATTTTCAAATGAAATTGCTGGAGGCTACAAAGAAGACTTGAGTAGAATGACACCAGGTCACCTCTTCCACCTTCATGGTGATGATGTCATGAGTCTGAGATGTCTTTCTGCTATGTATTTTTTTAAAAATTAATAGACTTTTTAAGCATCTTCGGGTTTATAAATAAAAGGTGGGTGAAAATAAAGGAGAATTTCCATATGCCACAGTTTCCCTTTTTACTTATTTATTTATTGAGTACTAGGGATTGAAACCAGTGGCACTTTATCACAGAGCCAGAGTCTTGCTATGCTGCCAAGACTGGGTTCAAACTTGAGATCCTCTTGCCTCAGTTCCCGAGTTGCTGGGATTACAGGCATGTGCCACAGCACTCTATTAATTATATGCATTGCTGTGGTATATTTATGAGAATTGGTGAACCAAACTGATACATTGTCATTTACTGAAGTTCATAGATAATATTAGGGTTCATTCTTGGTATTGTATTTCTATGGGTTCAGACAAGTGTATAATGACATATGTCCACCATTTTAGTTCCACCCAGAGGAATACTTTCACTGCCCTATTCTATGTGACACTATGATGGTGGACATTCATCCTTCCCTCCATTAAACCCCTGGCAACCATGGTTCTTTCTTTCTTTCTTTCTTTCTTTTTCTTTCTTATAGTTGTAGGTGGACAGCATGCCTTTATTTGTTTAGTTTTTTTTTTTATGTGGTGCTAAGGATTGAACCCAGTGCCTTTACACATGCTAGGCAAGCACTCTGCCACTGAGCTACAGCCCCAGCCCAACCCAGATATTTTTACTGTCTCCACAGTTTTGCCTTTTCCAGAATATCATTTAGTTGAAGTCCTACAATATATAACCCACTCAGACTGGCTTCTTTCACTTTTTAAAAAACTACATTTTTAGTTCTAGATTCTAGAGTCATAAGCTACCAACTGTATCTTATGGTGTTAAGATAAACGGTATCCTTCTGGGGAAAATGGCTAGTGTGTTTGTTGCTGATAAGAGATAGGAAAACATTTTTCTGACATGAAGTCTCTCAATGCTGAAACTGCAGAGTGACCCATGTAGGATTTACACTGGGTTAAAATAACAATGTATTTCCAAGCTATGAACCTCTGGTATAACTTAGAACAAGGTATAAAATGCAGACAGCTACCTCTTTGTATCACTGAAACTGTAACTGAGGAATGGATGACTTCCTAAGATTTCTGGGCAGCAGTAAAGACAGATGCATTAGGAGCATCTGGTATCTCAGGTTTCTAAAAAAGAGAATCAAATCCTTAGATTTGATTCTAAGATCAAATTCTTAGATTCCTAAGAATCTCCATTTTCATTTCCCAAGCAGAGCCAGTACTTCAGAGGAAAATCTGGGTTCATGCAAAGCACACAGCCTCCTTAAATTTGGATTGGCATTCAAGAAAATGTGCCTGCCCTTTCCTTGGATAAGTAAATTATTCCTTCAAATATTTGCAGCTGGAGGGTGTGATTTTTCAATGTATTCGAGACACAGCTGTATTAGAAAAATTATTCACAAAATGACTCTCCCTTGGGTTATCTATTTTTACTATAGTAAGAAGCTTTTAGTTCATTTACTCTCTGTTCTTAATTAAAGTGAAGTTATCCCTTCTGCAGACATGGAAAGGCCAAGTCACCTTGTGCTTATAAAGTCCTTTAAGGGTAGGGAGCTCGGAGCTTGTGGAACCCCGACTCCCTGACTTCTTAGCAGCAGGGTGAGCTCCTGCATTCTTTTCTACAGATGTTTTCCTGCCTTCTCTTAACCAGCAGGAACCAACAGAGAAAAACAGAAAGACCTATTATTTTTATATGCTCTACCCCTTGCTTCTCATCTCTCCAGCCAGAATCCTTTGTTCTCAATTATAATTATTGTTCAATCTACTTATTTAATCTTTTAAATTGCCCAGGCTGTGCTGGAACTCACGATCATCCTGCCTCAGCCTCCGGACTAGCTGGGATTACAGGTGTGCCTCACCACATCACAAGTTTTAAGTTTCTAAATTGTAAACAGAACCCCATCGCTGCAGCAAGCCAGTTCCCCATTCCACTGAGGCACTCTCTTCCTGCACCATGGACTCCCTCTCTTTGACATGCTGGTGTGTGAAGCGAGTTGGCTGCAGCACTTAGACTTAGCTGATGGGGGATGTGGCCACCAGAGTGTCCTCTCACTGAGATTGGATGGTGGCTTCCTCTTTGCAGAACTCACAATTTAGCAGGTTCTAGCTTATTTATATTGCTTTGTGTTTTAACTGGAGTCTGCAAAAAGGAAACTGCTGGCTCCTTGGACAGAGTGAGGATAGCATTGACTTACATTCAGGATTTTTTTTGTTTTGTTTTTCCTGACATTAGTGCAGAACCAACTGTGGATATATATGTTTGTATTTATTTATTTTAGGTTCCTGGGAAGAAGAAAGGGATGCTGAAAAATGGTGGCACTCCTTAGGGTAGTGCCTGGCACAAGGCAAGCACCATGTGGGTATTCACCACTGTTAAAACACTGGCTGAATATCTGCCCTACCAAATGATGACATTATTAGGGGAAACAAAACTAAACTAAAGGCTACATTTTGAAACACCCTGAACTGGTATGGATTCATACTCTGCTCATCTAATTTACTTATTAAAGTGTAAAATGTAAGCATCTTTTTTAGTCTAAACTTTTAGAAAGGAGCTTTTTCTGGGGAATGTAGCCAAGTCATTGGCAGAAATTATAAAAGGACCCAGCATGGAGCATTGTGGAAAGTCTAAACAGCCCTTACATCAAATATACATTGTGATCTAAAGATTCATCTGGAAGTTGGTTGTTTGAAACAGAATAAGCCCATTTACCTCACAGAAACAATACTACAAATGAAGGCAAGGTACCCAGGTTAACTCTTAACACTGAACCCATCTGGCTATTGAACTATAATGCTAAGAGCATCAGATGCCCCTTGAATATTTGTGAATAAGCACATTTGTCCTTAATATATTCCCAATTTATAATTCTCCTATGCATTTATTCATTTTATAATCATTTGTTAAGTATCTATTATGTGGCAAGCACTGCACTAGACTCCAGCGACCCCCAAATTAAAAGACAAAGCCCGCATTTGTACTGACAGATGAGATCACAATAACACATACTTAGAGCAATGAGGCAGCATATCATGGGAGCAGGTGAGTGGGAGGTGATCTCAGACTGGGGATGGGCACAGTTGAGAGAAGGCTTCTCAGAGGGGATGGTGAGAATATGATTTGCCTTGAAGGAATAGTAGGAGCTTGCCTGGTAAAGGATGGCATGTGGATAAGTGTCTCTGGTGTCATAATACTCTCACAGCTCCCTAACTTATCTCATGGTACCCACTGTGGTCTGCCTTAGACACTCTCCAAGGCTTCCTGAGTACTATCCGGCCCACCTGTCTCCAGTCAAACATGGCTCTCACTTCTCATGCAGCTGTTTTCAATCTGGGTTAGGATGGCAATTTTATTGAACTAAGGTGCCTAGACATGTATAACCACATCTTTACCTGGTGGCATGGCAATTAAGCTGGGGGGGGGGGGTTTAGAAACTCCTGGGAAGTTTGATGATGTGGCCATAAGGATGGCTAGGCTCCTCCCACAGGGATTCTGGCTTTATTGCTCTACTGGAGCATTGGTATGGTTTAGAAGTTCCAAGTGATTTAAAGGTGTATATTATCTTCCCAGAGATGTCTGCATTTTGGAATTGATTTTCATTTACTGTTACATACTAAAAGAAATTACAAAAGCAAAATATCCACTCTACCCCTCCAACAAATAGGTTCATGTCTGAATTCCTTTCAGCATGCAATTCAGTCATGAATCAGAGGATTTATACAACTTTGCTTTCTGCCTCTTATCAATCATTCATACAACTGTTTGTCCCATGTTGTTTTTGTTTCCATGTTTTATTTAGCATGTAACTACGATTTCCAAAACTATATCATTGGTTAATGTAAAAATTTCCAGATTTGGGGTATTACTAATGATACTGTAATGAACACGTTCACCTCTATGACTGTTTACGTTTGGATAAATTTGTTAGGGCACATCAGGCAGTATAATGTAGCCAGAGGAAAGAGTTCACAGTGTGGAGGAGACTGAGGGTCACAGGGGGTGCTGTGCCCATGAGAAGGAAGGGTCCTACCCAGAGTGTCCCTCCCTACTCCTGCTCTTGGTAAGCTTTCTTGTTCACTCTGCTTAATTCATTTTTTTCCAGGGGCCGTCAGTTTCTCACCTAACCTGAAGCATCTCCTTTCCCATCTCTCAGTTGTCTCAGTTTAGACTTTCCTCCTTGCCACTGTCCCTACTCTCTCTGACCTGGTCTGTTTCAAACCTGAGCATCTTATCTGGACTCAGCCTTGTGCAGGTCTATGTCATGTTTGGAGGTTGGCTGGGTAGTCTTTGTAGTCACTCAGCACAACCCTATCTCAGGACTGTCACAGGAATGCCTGTGATACTTGATAAATAAAAGGCTGAACTAAGAAATTTCTTGAGAAGCCTGGGATGGTGGCGCACACCTGTGATCCCATCAGTTTGGGAGACTGAGGCAGGTGGATCACAGGTTTGAGGTCAGCTTGGGCAGCTTAGTGATACCCTGTCTCAAAATAAAGAATATAAAAGGCTGAGGTTGTAGCTCAGTGGTAGAGCACCCTGGGTTCAATCCCTGGTACCACACATATGCACACACCCAGAAATTTCTCAAGATCTTCCAAAAATGTTGGAGGCAGATTTTTGTTTTATAATTGGCATTTTAATGAGAATTAGTTGGGTGATATTTGCTTATTGATGCCAGATAAACTTCCTGTTTCAGGGAAAAATAGTTCTACATTATTAAGTCAGAAAAGACTGAATTGCTTTC